TTACATTGTAATTGTCACATTGATGCACTTGCATGTCACCCGAGTCATTTCGGAGGCCCGTGACGATCGCTCTTCTAGCGCATCGCGCGGCTGCCTCAAGCAGTCTCATTTCATCCACGGTCGCGACGAGTCTTGTACTCTTACCTTCTTTCGATCTCCTGCTCTTCCCTCTTCTTACTGCCTCGTATTTGTCAAGGTCCGGAGACCTGTGGGTCACGGGAAACCTGGGGGAGTACGTAGTGCATACGCACTATTGTTTAAGAATTGTTTAAACAAATTATAATAAATTGGATGGGTGCATGATCAGGTCTCAAAAGAAAACACTGCATGAGTCATATGAGTTTCTATTTTCCCAATTTTCTTTATTTTCACTCAAAATCACTGTTAATTTAATAAAAACTGAGTCAATTAATTCAAAATATTGATAACAATTACAAAGTAATTGAGTTCACTGATATTATGATTGATTTTACACTTGAGTAGTCAATAATTGCACAAATAAATTGAGTAGTCGACGCGAAGCGAGATTATATTAATTCACACTTAATTATCAAAGAGTCTTTACAAAGTTTGAGTTGTCAGTACTAAGTTTGATTATATTAATCCACTCTGTTTTGTCGTGATTTGTTGCACTTGAGACGTGCAACACTTCTCTTGAGTTCACAGTGAGTTGAACTTGATTTGTGAGCAGACTGGAGCACAACGTAAGAGGTTAAATTAATCCTCTCGTGTGCAGGTGTGAGCAGCCGGATGAGTTGATCGAGGTCACGTGAGATTGCACATGGCTACTTGTAACCTCACTTTCATTCGTTGTGTGCGCGTGCGATTGAGATGAGCCAAAATAATCCCGAGAGTTGAGTTGTGAGTGTGGTTCTCGCTTCCGGCGCTACGCTGTGAGTCTCCGTGAGTTTTTGATACTCCTCCTTTTCTGTTGTCGTCTTGTGAGTGTGGTTCTCGCTTCAGGCGCCAACATGCGTGCTGGAGGAGCCTAGGCCCCCGCATCCGGCGCCCTCTTGAGAGTATGTTCTCGCTTCTGACTTCATCATGGGAGTGTTGTGCTCCATTTATTGCCAGCCTTGTGAGTCCTCGCCTCGGGCTCCTACTTATGGTTATCCTATCGCTTCAAGCTCGCACAGTGATCGGGGTCTTTTACCGCTTCGGAAGCTGATGACATAGCCCGGGTCTTCTTTTTGAGTGGTACCCGCTCCACCTCGGGCACGGGGTCGACCACACCAGGCGAAAAAACGAACCTCGAAAATTCGCCAAGTGGGGATCGAACCTACACCCTACGGCACACCTTCTATCAGCAGGCAAGAAATATACCCACTGAGCCAAGGAGACCGATTCCTCTGTGTATGTGTGTTTTTTTTTTTTTTTTTTTTTTTTTTTTTTTTTTTTTTTTTTTTTTTTTTTTTTTTTTTTTTTTTTTTNTGTGTGTGTGTGTGTGTGTGTGTGTGTGTGTGTGTGTGTGTGTGTGTGTGTGTGTGTGTGTGTGTGTGTGTGTGTGTGTGTGTGTGTGTGTGTGTGTGTGTGTGTGTGTGTGTGTGTGTGTGTGTGTGTGTGTGTGTGTGTGTGTGTGTGTGTGTGTGTGTGTGTGTGTGTGTGTGTGTGTGTGTGTGTGTGTGTGTGTGTGTGTGTGTGTGTGTGTGTGTGTGTGTGTGTGTGTGTGTGTGTGTGTGTGTGTGTGTGTGTGTGTGTGTGTGTGTGTGTGTGTGTGTGTGTGTGTGTGTGTGTGTGTGTGTGTGTGTGTGTGTGTGTGTGTGTGTGTGTGTGTGTGTGTGTGTGTGTGTGTGTGTGTGTGTGTGTGTGTGTGTGTGTGTGTGTGTGTGTGTGTGTGTGTGTGTGTGTGTGTGTGTGTGTGTGTGTGTGTGTGTGTGTGTGTGTGTGTGTGTGTGTGTGTGTGTGTGTGTGTGTGTGTGTGTGTGTGTGTGTGTGTGTGTGTGTGTGTGTGTGTGTGTGTGTGTGTGTGTGTGTGTGTGTGTGTGTGTGTGTGTGTGTGTGTGTGTGTGTGTGTGTGTGTGTGTGTGTGTGTGTGTGTGTGTGTGTGTGTGTGTGTGTGTGTGTGTGTGTGTGTGTGTGTGTGTGTGTGTGTGTGTGTGTGTGTGTGTGTGTGTGTGTGTGTGTGTGTGTGTGTGTGTGTGTGTGTGTGTGTGTGTGTGTGTGTGTGTGTGTGTGTGTGTGTGTGTGTGTGTGTGTGTGTGTGTGTGTGTGTGTGTGTGTGTGTGTGTGTGTGTGTGTGTGTGTGTGTGTGTGTGTGTGTGTGTGTGTGTGTGTGTGTGTGTGTGTGTGTGTGTGTGTGTGTGTGTGTGTGTGTGTGTGTGTGTGTGTGTGTGTGTGTGTGTGTGTGTGTGTGTGTGTGTGTGTGTGTGTGTGTGTGTGTGTGTGTGTGTGTGTGTGTGTGTGTGTGTGTGTGTGTGTGTGTGTGTGTGTGTGTGTGTGTGTGTGTGTGTGTGTGTGTGTGTGTGTGTGTGTGTGTGTGTGTGTGTGTGTGTGTGTGTGTGTGTGTGTGTGTGTGTGTGTGTGTGTGTGTGTGTGTGTGTGTGTGTGTGTGTGTGTGTGTGTGTGTGTGTGTGTGTGTGTGTGTGTGTGTGTGTGTGTGTGTGTGTGTGTGTGTGTGTGTGTGTGTGTGTGTGTGTGTGTGTGTGTGTGTGTGTGTGTGTGTGTGTGTGTGTGTGTGTGTGTGTGTGTGTGTGTGTGTGTGTGTGTGTGTGTGTGTGTGTGTGTGTGTGTGTGTGTGTGTGTGTGTGTGTGTGTGTGTGTGTGTGTGTGTGTGTGTGTGTGTGTGTGTGTGTGTGTGTGTGTGTGTGTGTGTGTGTGTGTGTGTGTGTGTGTGTGTGTGTGTGTGTGTGTGTGTGTGTGTGTGTGTGTGTGTGTGTGTGTGTGTGTGTGTGTGTGTGTGTGTGTGTGTGTGTGTGTGTGTGTGTGTGTGTGTGTGTGTGTGTGTGTGTGTGTGTGTGTGTGTGTGTGTGTGTGTGTGTGTGTGTGTGTGTGTGTGTGTGTGTGTGTGTGTGTGTGTGTGTGTGTGTGTGTGTGTGTGTGTGTGTGTGTGTGTGTGTGTGTGTGTGTGTGTGTGTGTGTGTGTGTGTGTGTGTGTGTGTGTGTGTGTGTGTGTGTGTGTGTGTGTGTGTGTGTGTGTGTGTGTGTGTGTGTGTGTGTGTGTGTGTGTGTGTGTGTGTGTGTGTGTGTGTGTGTGTGTGTGTGTGTGTGTGTGTGTGTGTGTGTGTGCGTATGTCCGAGGCAAAATCATGAAAATGTTACGGTGGATTGCATAAATTTCAATCGCTTTCATTGTCGTTTGTAGTATTAATGAGGCCAGAAACAGTTTTTTGGCAATACAAAAATTTTTGTTTTCGATTTTTTCACGTATAAATGCCGGAATTTTCACTATTTTTTGTTGTCATCATGAAAGCAGAGCAGCCAAGCTTTAATTTAAGACCAAAAAGATAGAGATTCACCGAATATTATGAAAATTAACGACTCAAAATGAAAAATTGTACTTTTGCTTCCTCATAGAGGGTCGGTAGCAAGGTAATCTTACACGAAATTCTAGAAATCTTTAAGTTTTTTAGGAGTTTCGTGTGCATTAAAGAAAGCGGAATTTAAATTTCAAAAATGAAATACGAATTTTCCCGTTAATAACCAAACCCTTTCATTAATATAATTTCTTATGAGAAAGCACTTAGACAATGAATTGGCAGCGGTTTTATGTGGCTATATGGGTATTATATGGTCTTTTATTGTTCATAACTTGTGCTATTAATATTTGCACAAGTTATTAATACCATTATTTTATTATGGAATTCCGAAAGTAGCGATGAAGTTACTTAACCCATTAAGTCCCAAGAGGACGTTTTTTTGACACTTATTTCGGTCGCTGTATTTTTGATGAAAAAGGGGTAAAAAAAATATGTGAATAGCCTGTTCTTATGTAAAATTTAATGCCCTTTTAGAATCTGAGCTCAGATTTTCGAAAAAATAATCAGGTCAAAACTTATGGTTGATGTTATAAAAAAAAACGTGATTTTGAAAAAAAAAATTTTTCATTTTTTTATTTTTCAAACGGAAAGCATTTAAAATCTCATGGTTTTTGTACAAATATCGCGTCTTGATGTCTAAACTAAAAGTTAAAGGGGTTCAGATTCGAAAAATTAATGTTTAAACAAACAAAATGATGGTCGGAACGCGAAAAAGTTAAAAAAACTTCTAGGATTTTCAACTCGAAAACGAAGGACTTGAGGAAAAAATGTTACTGAACAAAAAGTGTTTAGAATTGATCGAAGAACACGCTTGATTTTTTCCGACTTTTTGGAACCATTTTTGAATTTTCGGAAAAATGGTCATATCCGAAAATCCAAAAATCGCTCTGAAAATTCAGAAAAAAAATTCATACGTATTCTTTGATCCATTCTAACCACTTTTTGTTATATAACATTTTTTCCTCAAGTCCTTCGTTTTCGAGTTAAAAATCCTAGAAGTGTTTTTTCATTTTTTCGCGTTCCGACCATCATTTTGTTTGTTTAAACATTCATTTTTCGATTCGGAACCCCTTTAACATTTAGTTTAGACATCGAGGACGCGATATTTGTACAAAAACCATGAGATTTTAAATGCTTTCCGTTTGAAAAATAAAAAAATGAAAATTTTTTTTTTTCAAAATCACGTTTTTTTTTATAACATCAACCATAAGTTTTGACCTGATTATTTTTTCGAAAATCTGAGCTCAGATTCTAAAAGGGCATTAAATTTTACATAAGAACAGGCTATTCACATATTTTTTTTACCCCTTTTTCATCAAAAATACAGCGACCGAAATAAGTGTCAAAAAAACGTCCTCTTGGGACTTAATGGGTTAAAATCTAGTACGAATACGCTTTATAGAAATCTTACTAGATCATGCTTATATTATATCATTCCCTTTCGGTAAATTTATGTATTGCCATAAATATTGAAACTCATATTATAGTTATTTAAATAATAATGAATGTTTATTTTATTTACAGACAATTCGTTTCCCAAAGTATCTTCTTCTATAAAAAATCAATCATCAGTGGAGAATATTTTACTGAAAGAATCACACAAAAGACATTTCATCGACGTAATAACGCAATAGTCATAAAATATAGTACTAAATAATTACTTATATTCTTGTGTGAAATAAATTGTTAATTAGTTTACCATATATACGTATTGAACAATATATAATAATTCAATAATTCTCATATTTACTCCGTTTCTTAAAATTACGCACGAATACTTATTCTCAATCATGTTATGTGTTCAGGTACACTTTTCGATTATTGTTCAATTTTATTTGTGCACTATGCTCAATTCATATTTATATAAGTTATCTTTTCAGAGGTAATAGATGGATCATGACACTTGTGTTGTTGCAGTTTTAAAGCTGTAAATTTATTCCTTTTTTATTAACATGTACACTTATAAATTACTATATTTACAATACCTGAATCAACTCAAAATGCCGAATTCTCACAGTCTATACTCGACGACCCATTGAATCTTACTGCCTTTAATTACAATGCTCAATCCCCTCTCTATCAATCTCGACACATACAAATTTGATCACATGTCAAACTTACATCCCCCACCTTCAGAAAGTGACCCGGTTTTCAAACAGGGCACCAATTTACTCGCGTGAAAAATATTTGATTCCCTATTGTTTTTTATATCTATTGTATACATTACATTTGATAGTTTTATTTTTATTTTGTATGGTCCTAATCTTACAGAATCTAACTTATTTCTATTTAATCTGTTTCCATTTTGCACATACACTAAATCTCCTTTCTTATAAATTATGTTGCGTTTCTTCTTATCATAATATTTTTTATTCTGCTCGTGACTTTTTTCTGATTTCTGTCTTTCTAACTTTCTGTCTTCTTCCAAACTGTTATTATCGTATCCTCTTAACTCTTCCGGTATGATACCCTTTTCATTTCCAGTTAACAAATAGTTTGGTGAAAATCCTGTAAATGAATGAACTGTATTGTTGTATTCATTTACACATTCCTCAGCTATAGATGGCCACGGGCGATTTTTATTTTCAAACATTTTGCACCTTATTCTATTAACTAGTGTTTGTTTCGTCCTCTCATTCAAACCATTAGAGAATGTACAATCTACTGCTGTAAAAATCAAAGAAATCTCTCTTTCTTTCACATATTGCTTGAGTCGTTTGGAATTAATACCTGGATATAAGTCTGTTAACAGCATTTTTACTTTTCCTGCATTTTCTACATTCCTTGATAATTTAATAAATTCATTTGCTGTCTGCATTTTTGAAGTTGTTATAAATGCAAACCTTGTGAAATGATCAAATATTTAGTGTATATATTTCTTTGTGCTTTTATTGCCACTAAAACCTCCCATTGTAACTAATGACACAATTTGCAATGGTTCACTTGCTGGACCAAGTTGTGACAAGGGTACTTTGAAATTACCTATTCTTGTTTTGTTTTTTATACACGTGTCCCAGGTTCTGCACACAATTTTTATGTGTTTATACATATTTTTAAAATAATATTTTTCTGCAATTGTTAATACTAATTGTTTTATTCCTATATGTCCTTTAGCTCTATGTATCATCTGTATCATTTTTATTCCAAACTCTTCAGTTATCAATATTTTCTTTTTATTATTCACTTTTTCATAAATAATTTCATTTTCTTTAACACATGTATTATCACATTTTATGTTTTTCTGATCATCCATAATTTGCTTTATTTTTATCATATTCACTATTTTTATAGCTGAGTCTTCATCCTCATTATTTTGTTCCTCTAGGATCGGATTTCTTGATAAACAATCAGCTTCTGCATTATCTTTTCCAGGATTATACACTATCTTGAAATTAAATTGAGATATATAATGCAGAATTTGTCTCAAATCAGGATCACTACTATTATTAACATTAAAATTTTCAAGGGGCTTGTGTTCAGTAAATATTACAAATTCTCGACCTATTAAATAATACTGCCAGTATATAATGGCTTGTTGAATTGCTAAGCACTCAATAAATATCGCTCTTTTTGTTTGCTGTGCTTTTGTCAGTTTCCGTGAAAAATGAAAAACCGGTTTTATTTTTTTATCTTCTTGAGGTTGCTTCAGTATGGCTGCGACTCCTTGCAACGAAGCATCTGTATATGTGGAATTCTCTGAAACTTTTAGTTTTTCGACAAAAAAAATAAATAGAAATTTTCTCTTGGCACACGTACGGGATATGAATTTTCTTGAATATTTTCACCTGGAAAAAAAAACATCGGGCTCACGATAAGGGATGAAAGGTGCCGTCAGAAATGAGGGTTGAAAACATTTTAATTTTTTTTCCCTATTTTCATGTCTATTTAAGTATTCGATTATAATAAAAAAAATTGTTTTTTTTTTTATTAGTTTTTCATTTTATTAATTAATTAAATTTTTTATGAAATAAATTATATATTAAATGAATTATACATTAATTTTATTAAAAAAATTAAATAAATAAATTAATAATTAATTTTAAAAAAAATTTAAAAAAAATTTTTTATGCAATAGTATGACGAAAAATGTTTTTTTTAACACTGCGTGCGCGAAACACGGGTTTTCTAACCTTAAAGCGTCAGAAAACCCTAGTTTCTCGCAAGCAGGGTTAAAAAATATCGTTTGCAACAAGTGCGCGAGGAAGTTGACTCACCCAGGAGTCTTTGCACCCTCGCTACGCTCGGGTGAAAACAACTCCTGGATGAGTCAACTGCTTCGCGCACTTGTTGCAAAATATACTATTTTCGCACATTTTTTAGTGCGCAAAATGCGTTTTTGGACACTTGTGTGCGGTAAAATGCCTCATTTTGGACACGGGTGTGCGGTACAACGCCTCATTTAAATGAAAGTATTTTTCGTCTCCTATTGCATAAAATTTTGTATGCAACACGTGCCCAGCTTTTTGCACACAGTGTGCGGAAAAAACACCCACTCGTGCCGGCATAGCCGGTACTCGTGTCTTTTTCCGCACACTCGTGCCCAAAAACGCCTTTTGGGCACTTGTTACATAAATAACTATATTAAGGGCAAAATAAATTTCAGCCCTTGCGTCAAAATGTTTTAAATAACCAAAATTTGAAAGACATTAGGGTACAAAGCCGATTCATACCCACGTTAGGGTGTGCCATAAAAAAATGTTATTTTTTTGGTTCGTGAGCCCAGCATATGTCGGATCTTTAACCCGGTGTATATTTAGTTTCCAAAGGGGCACACGGGTTTGCGACATGGGAATCGATTCCTTTACTCAAGAGCTTTATCCCTCTCAATTTGGGTGGAGAAATATTAAACGGTGCTCCCCCATTATTCATTTCAATTTTTAAAACTGAATTTAATAAAAATCTAGTTCCCCTTATTGAATCAAGGATACTGAGTCTTGGGGTGAGGGCACCGCTTAGAAACAATTTTTTCAAACAATATAACCCGAAAACTATACTGAAAAAAATTTTCAAAGCTCTAGGTACACCGGTGCTTTTTATATAGCATTAAGAAATTATAAATTTAGTGAAGTTCCTTTTAAAAATCTCAAAATATCGTATGAAAATACTTTTATGGCTAACCATACTTCACGCTACACCCGTATAATCGAGTTTTATGTACTTAATAACTTTCAATATACTTTATACTATTATAATTATAGTCACAGATATTGTTTAAATTATTAGAATACAAGATCCACATCGGTTCCTCCAATATTAAAAGTTTCAGAGAATTCCACATATATATAAATCGGAGCCTTAGGATCAAAAATGGCCAATATTGGATCTGAACACAAATATTCTTTAATATCTTTAAAGCTTCAAAGCGCTCTTCAAAGCAAATTTTTTTTCGATTTTAAACCTCCTTTGAGACCATAATTCTTCAATATAGACATACTTGTTAAACACTAGAAAAGAACACTTCCCTACCCTGCTAGAAAAAATCAGGTAAAAAATCATGCCAAATCTACAGGGGATTTTTTTTTTTAATTTTTAAAAATTATTAAGACTTGTCAGTAATTTTCGAAATTATTATTTACTAGGAATTTATATGCGTTATATATGTTTTTTTTTTATTATAGTGTATTGGACCTCTCGTGAGGTATATACACTTCGTTTATTCATTATATCTATTTACATAAAGTGTTACAACGTAACTTGAGGGAATCAAACATATAAGCATAGAGAAGAATAAATTAAGTGAATAAATAAATAGATAAGTACATGAAAGAAAGTATTTATTTAGCAAGTAGATAACCTGAGCGTATCATGTTTTTTTTCAAAAGATATCCATAGACAGGAACGAGGGAAAAGAAGAAAAGAAAAAAATAGAAAAAAAAATTGATTGATTAAGTAATAAAATCACAGATAACGGTAACAGATATACAGGACAGAAGAGGAGTGAATTAGGTACGGTGTAGGACAGGGACAAAGTAGAGTGCGTAATGAGGTGATGAGAATGAGATGTGGGATGTGAATTTTTTTTTATTTTTATCAATAATATGTTTTTATATAATGATTAGATGTTTATGTTGGATTCTGTAAAGAATTTACAGATGTGGATGCAGGCATCAATATTTGGGTTAGCTATGTAAGTTCCTATTGAGTGTGGGGGGGGGGGGGGGGGAAANGGGGGGGGGGGGGGGGGTAAAAGCCAAGATTGGAAAGATTACGAATGAGAGTGTTTCTATTTTTTTTATACTGTGTATTCCCAAAGTACGTGGTCGAAGGTTGCCTCTGAGGAGCAACATTTACAGAACGGATCATTAATAATATTCTTACGAAATAACGATTCGGCGACACTAGAATGATTGGATCTCACTGGCATCGCTTTGTACCTTGAAGGGCTGAGAAAAATTTGGTCGAGCCAAGACGGGAGAGGAGATCAGGGCCCTTTTCAAGCTTTCGAACGCTTCGCTTTGCTCCGGTCCCCACAGCCACGGCGCATTTTTTTTCGTTAACTTCAACAAGGGAATTTTCACGGAGGACTCCATACGAATAAACTAAGAATATCACGAAATACAGCCCAAGAAGCTACGAAGCTCCTTGAGATTGCGCCGGAGCTTACAATTCAAAACCGGGGCCACCCGTTCGGGATCGGGCCTCAGGCCCTCTGCGTCCAAAAAAAACCCAGATACGTCAATCTTTGGCAACAGTACTCGCACTTCTTGCGATTCACCGATAACCCTGCTACTCGAAGCTTACTAAA